ATGTGACCACTTGATTGCTATTTAACTTAGGTTAATTTTCTATCAGTCAAATTTATGATAATATATTTGTTATAAAAGGTCATAATTTGATAACATGTCACATTCATACATTAATGGTCACAACAGATCACTATAAACACAGACTTGATTATAGAGGATCACAATTAACATACAAATGGTCACAAATTTTAAATGTATATATGTTTTGTCACAAACATCTACTGTTGGCACTGTTAACATAGACTTGGTCATATACAGTCACAATTATATTATATTTGGTTACAAACAGTCACAATAAAGACAAATTTTCTCATAATCAATTACATTTAACACATACTTGATCACAAATGGTCACAAACTTTAAATGTAAATAGCGTTAGTCACAAACATTCACCGTTAACAAATGTCTTGTTTCACATGTCACTGGTAACAGAAATTTGGTTACATACAGTTGCAGTTAAGATATATCTAATCAAGGACAGTCGCAATGAAGATAGCCTTGGTCACAATCAATCACAATTAACATATAAATGATCACAAACTTTAAATACTAATGTGTTTTACCACAGACATTCGTAGTTAATAGATGTGTGGTTACACGTCACTTTTAACACAAATTTGGCCATGCATAGTTGCGGAACATATCTCTTGTCACAAATTACAAAATATTTGGTCACAATTTGTCATATTAATTTGTTACAAGTTTCTCAGTCACAAATCTTATAATGTATAGGTCAAAACTTATTTTACAATAACAAATTATATCAAATTAACTAGTCACAAGTTATTTTCTATTACAATTTATCAAATTAATTGATCACAATTTATTTATCAGTCATGAAATTGCTCTTCATACATATTCTCTAATTACTCATTTAAGTTTAAGTTCTTACCGTTAAAAAAGAAGAAGAAGAAGAAGTAATTCAACCTATCGATTTGTTCTCAACAAAATATAAAACGTTTATTGTTGGTTGTCTAAACTTGCCCGCTCGAATGAGGATCCAAGTTGTTCCTATTGGGTAGTATTGAGCCTCTCTCACCCCAAAAGCTAGCTCAAAAGGTGAGATTTTTCCTTACACTTATAAACTGAATACCAACCCCATCTATAATCGATGTGGGACAACATCAACAAACTCCCTCTCACATATCGGGCTTTGAGGAAGACCAAATACATCTCCCCTCCACAACGGGGTCTGTAGGAGACCAAAATCGTCTCCCCCTCATACAAATCTGTATCTTTATAGTCGTTGGGCCGAAGACTTGTTGATAAACTGGGCTCTAATATTAGTGTTGGGTGGTATTGGGTCTCTCACCTAAAAACTAGCTCAAGAGATAAAGTTTTCCCCCACACTTATAAACTAAATATCAACCCCATCCACAATCGATGTGGGACAACCTCAACAATTGGTATTATTAGGTAATTGCCTCAAAAGTCAAAAGTTGGAGGACTTTTATTCCAAATAATAAAAGGTAATCATTGTATGGAAAACTTCTAATTAAAGTTTAGAGCAGAACCCTCGTAGAATTTGATCTCCAATTTTACAGTCGATTTTGGAGTACTGCACATGAAGGAGTCCTCTTTTGAGTTGAAATTGAACTCTTCTACTTGATTATTGATCCTACAATAGTGGATGCATTTATTATTTCGCATGTGTGTCCTGAGAGTTGATCCGAGAGAGAAATATTATGAGCCTAGTATCTTGAGAGTTTTCATACAAAGAGTAGAAAAATTGGTATGATAAAGCTCGATTCTATTTTTCTTTGTAATACTTGGAGATTGAGTTGGTGAGTAAAATTCTATATGGTTGTAATAATTTTCATATAGTGAAAGGCTTTAATGATCCATTTAATTTTTGTATTATATTATTCTTTTGCTAATATTCTCTTGAACAATAAAAGATTCTGCGGCTAAATAGAAATAAAAGGAAATTAACGTAAAATTCCCAATAGTTCCATGGATGAGTTGCCTTGTTAAACATAGAGCAATTAGAATTCATGAGAAATTAATGAATGGGATAATAATGAAGAATTTTCTACGGGAGCAAAAACCAAGAATTATTAATGGGAGCAGCATCAAATCACCAATCTCCCAGTGATCGAGCGACTTTCAGTCGCCTCCGTAGCCACCACACCCTTATCCATTTTTAACGATGACGATGAAAAAGTCGATGTGACATCTATGCTTCTGCCATGTGCACAGCGATCTTCACCACAGGTGTGTGTGGGGTACGCGGAAAGGACAAGGTCCTCAATCTTCGGTCATCACCGTCAATTGCCATCGATGTGTGGGGGACTAGGAGTCAGGACAATTGATTTGGGTTTTTGGAGACCTAAAATAAATTAGGTTTTTGAAATCACTTTTCGATAATATAATTTTAACAAAATTACAATATATTTTTTTATATAAATAAAAATATACTTAACTCCTATTATTTGAATAAAAAGACTTGATAATGTAATTTTAAATGAACAAGTCTATGTGTACACTTTCCGTGTACACATTCGGTGACAACCCCCTCACATTGAGGTGTGGCCCACAAACAATTTATTATGTGTGGGCCCCCTACATGTGAGGGAGGTATAAAGGATTGTATACATTGAATGGGTACACGTAGCATAATTCATTTTATATGCGTGTCTCCCTATAATTTTCCCCTCTAAAAAGATGGAACCGGAACGGGTAATATTTTGACAAAGAGATGATTGCTTTGTCACTATCATTAGACGATAAAGCTCGTCTCTTCAGCTACATTATTTCGACTGTCCTGCAGCCTTACCCACTTCTTTACAAGGTCTCTCTTTCTCTCTGAATTTGTTTAAAGTTGTATGTATATGCCCTGAATAACAATAATCATGAATCTTGTTTGGGTAGTTCTTGCTCCTGCATAATCTTGTTGATTGGGTTCCAATTTTGCCTATGTCTATGATTTAATTATTTTCTGTCCTGCTATTTGTGTGATAGAGTTGAAATTTCTTCTCAAGCTGGTTATTTATGTACTCAATATATGTGTTTTCTACAAATCTGGGAATTGGGTTTTATGTTTATGCACTGTTCTTTTAGTGATTGTCTATTTTCTTAACTTCCTTTTTCCTCTTGGGACCATATGGGGTTCTTCTGTCAGATTATTTTCTCCCTGTTTTTGCTCTTTTCTTGAGGGTCTAATTTGGAAAGTTTTTACGTCATAGACTTGAACAACTGCATCAATTTGAGGCATCATTTAACATTGTATATTGAACCAAAGGTATATTATGGTTATTAAAATCGTAAATCTTAACAAAGTCTGTCATTGGAATTGTTTTGAATCCTTGACCTATTGGATTCGGCCTTGTGCCTTACAATTGTATTGGAATTCCAAAATCGATAAGATGCACAATAAGATCTTCTTGTCTAGGTTCAAGCATACAAAACAATTTGCAAAATTACTCGTGGGAAATGAGAAGGCCTGAAATTTAATGGTTCTCGATAAAGGCCATGAGCTTGCACTATTTACCATCTGTCGCCAAAATGTTCAATTATCAAGTGCTGTGATCAATCAGATGGTTTTGTATTACAGAACTCCCAATGTGAGGTTATAGCTTTGTCTTCCCAATAATAACTTTCTTAAAAGTTTCATAAACCTGTCGAGTCTTGCAAATTTAGGTGTCTCTGTTGAATAAGTAGCTCTGCAAAATACTCATTTATTTACACCTATCTTTGAACTGACACCAACTTTTACACAGGATCACTAGATTGTGAGCTTGCATTCAGTGATAAACATTTTGATTCTTCTGCAATACTTTAATCCTAAATTTTACTGCATAAAGTTTTGAGTATGATTCATTTAAGCAATAATTTCTCCAAGACCTATTGCTTGCGTATTATAGTATTATAGTTGCACCTACTATCCCGTTTGATTCTTGCAGATATAGGATCTAGAAGAATGGATTCAGACCTGGTAGTACACAATGGTGGATGTCACTGCAAAAAGGTGAGATGGAAAGTGAGAGCACCATCCAGTGTTGTAGCCTGGCAGTGTAACTGTTCTGACTGCTCCATGAGAGGCAATACACACTTCACCGTCCCATCGGAAAGGTTTGAGCTTTTTGAAGATTCTAAACAATTTCTTACCACTTATACCTTTGGTACGCACACAGCGAAGCACATTTTCTGCAAAGTTTGTGGCATAACCTCCTTCTACATTCCAAGGTCAAGCCCAGATGGCATAGCAGTTACATTCAAATGTGTGGATCCTGGAACACTAACTCATGTGGAGATCAGGCAGTTTGATGGAAAAAATTGGGAAAGCTCATACAGTAAAACAAGCATTGCTTCTTGTTCGAAAGTGCTGGATAAAAGTTCTGAATGATTTTCGATAGAAGTAATCCAAGCTGTTAGGTCATGAAAGATGAAATCAGTTTATACAGAATAAAATCCTTGTAAGAACAAAAATGTGTTGGTGATAAATATAGAGTTAGAATTTGTACTCAGTTTTCAGGTTGACAGGTTTGGTGTACTTGTATCTCCAGCAACTACTGTAATGAGTCAACGACGATTTCAAATTATTTCAACTATTGATGCCAGAGTCAATGATTAAGCATAGTCTGCTTCTGTTGTTATTTAAGTGCAAGTAGATTAAAACAAGTGACCACAAGTTTCCAATTTCTTATTGGTTGATTAAGTTTGTGCTCTAGGCACTCATAGAAGGTGGAGATGGGGATGGAATTGCGCCAATTCTGTTTTTCCCCTAGGTATACTCTCAAGTGTTAGGATGGATATCTGTGTTATAACTATCACGCTACTTGGCCAGAACACAGCAGTCCCCAAAACAGAGCTAGTCATTCCTTTTTTGATATGTTTAGTTGTTTCCCATGAGCGAACTCATATATATGTACGTTAACAATGGTATAAGATTTTTTGAGGTTTCAAGTAATAATAGCATAAGTTCAAAAGTCAAAGACTCATATGGAGAGCCCCATCATAGGAGTCTTAAATCAACAATATAAACAAATACCACTGCAACTGTTGAGGTCACAACAGCTAAGTACTAGTTAAGTTACAAAAAGGTACACACCATAAATAAACTCAGGTTGCCATTTATGAACACTACACTATGGCACTGCATTACTTGGAAAACTGTTTCCTGTCCCAACAAAGAATCCTACTGTTGATACACGAAAAGTGCAGCCCAAATCAAATAGCCCAAAGAGTGAAGCCCAATTGGGGAATCCAGGATAAAGGTCCAAACAGGATTATTGATGAATGCGGTGGAAGCCCACGAACACAGTAACATCATCGCCGACACTTGCAAGACACCCAGAATCTGAACGAATAGAATACCTTATGGTCGCTCAGAGCGATGACCCCGTTCTCGCCTAAACCTTCAAATCGCCAAGGATCTCAGCAAGTATAAAACATTGTGGTTATCCAGAATAGCATTTATTGAGTGATCTTATCACATTCCACGATTCAAGGAGCTCAGTTGAAGGCGGTTGAACGACAAAAAGTAATGACAACAGTTAGGGATGGCAGTTTCACGACAAGTTAGCCACCATAAAGAAAGTGCGTAGTTATACAGTAATCAAGCAGTTTCCAAGCGGTTTGTCACGAAGAAATCATCAAAGGAATATAAAAGGCAGAGAAGACATGGAGAAAAAAACCCCGAATCAAACACTCTCAAATAGAGAATATGTAATTTCGATTTCTTAGTTTCAAACTTAAATGCTTCTTTTAGTACTCGTATGCTTGCGCCCCTTGGATGCATTCTGTTTATTTCTAATTGTAAATCATTGCCAATAAAACACCCTTTTTTAGGACTTCGTCTCAAGAGATTTGTTCCTTACACAATCGTCTAATCCTTTTTTTAATTGTTAGCGACTATCCACGCGAAACAATTTGGCATGCCCAGTGGGACCTTGGTGTTTGGTGTTGAAGATACAAAAGGTGAAACAATATGCCTCACAAATCTGATAAAGAAGCAGCAAATCACGGAGGAGTCCAGTCTGTGATCGAGCGATATGAGGAGCGGCAAAGCTCTCCACAAACAGAGGGACAGAGTCAGAGCAGTCACAGTCGTTACGAACCAATGACAAAGTTGAGTCCTCGAACAATGCGTGAATTGCTTGGAGAACTCACACAGGATATCGTTGAACAGGTAAATCTACGAAATGTTCATAATATGGAAAGATTTACCCGGAATGGGAATGCACATTATGACAACATGGCCAAACAACTGAATACATTAAATGAAATAATGAATAAATTAGTAGGCCAAATTTGTCAGCCAGTTGTGCCTATTGCAAATCACTTTCAAATTAGGATAATCGTGGGACATAATTCCCCAGTCCTAAGTCCAAATCAGGGGATAGAACCACCTTTTGGTCCACCTACTTCAAACCAGGGGATGGTGCAATGCCAAATCAGAATAGTGGTAATAGTACATCTAACTTGGGGGGTAACCTAAATATAAGAGATAATGTCCTAAATAATAGACAGAATACCCCATGTGTCAATGATGGAATAAATATTCAGGCTAATGGTAACAATGGCCCAAATCATGGCAACTTTGTTGCCAACCAAGGACCAAACATCAGGCCTTAGGCAAATCAACCGATCAACCAACCTGTAGGAATTCCATATGACCTCAACGTCATGTTGAGAAATCAAATTATGGAAATAGTACAGGATCAAATGGCTTTTAGGGTACGTCCTGTCATTAGGCCGACTTACACAAAGCCATACCCTGATTGGATAGACCAAGCATATCCATGGCCTAGATGGTATAAAGTGCCAGAATTCTCATTATTTACCGGGTTAGGAGAGGTGTCTACTCTAGAACATATAGGGCGATTCACACAGTAAAGTGGTGAAGTAACCGACTCCATAAAATGAGGTTGTTCCCTAGTTCATTAATAGGAGTAGCTTTCTCTTGGTTCATCAATTTGCCAACAAACTCTGTTCAAACATGGCAACAATTGGAGCAATTGCTCCATGCTCAGTTTTATAAGACTGAGTCTGAAGTTACTTTAGCCGATTTGGCGAGTCTACGTCAAATGCCAAACGAATGGGCAGAAGGTTTCCTTCAAAGTTTTAAGACAGTAAAAAGTAAATGTTTTGTACCTTTGCCCAAAAAAGAGTTTGTCAAAATCGCTCAAAGTTGTCTAAACTTTGATTTGAAAAAAAATTCCATGACAGGGAATTTTCTGATCTTTTCCAATTGAGCACAAACGTTATTAGATATGAACGATTAATAAAAGAAGAAGAGCAAATGAAAAATTCTAGCAAGGGGACTTATTATAGAGACCCAAGTTTTGATGTTCATACCATTAATGACGAGTATTACAATCAAACCGAAATGTGTTTGGCCGAATTAATCAAAGGAGACGCATATATTTGTTCTATAATGGCTAAGCCTAGATCGTCGGGCAAGGATGAGCCTATAAAAGATGAAAACAAGAAGGCTAGAACGTTCTCGTTTGATGTAACTAAAGCTAACCTTATATTTGATAAACTATATAAGGATAAGCAGATAAAGTTGAGCGATAAACATAAGTTGCCAAGCCCTGAACAAATCAAGGGTAAAACATATTGTAAGTGGCATAATGCATGGTCGCATTTGACTAACAACTGTTTGGTTTTTCACCATGTGTTACAGGACGCCATTGAATCAGGATGAATTACGTTCGAGGATAAGAAGAAGATGGCAGTGGATGAAAACCCTTTTCCACAACCACTTGGGTTGAACATGGTGACGACTGGTTTCAAAAATAAGTTGCCAAAATGCAAGTTGGTTATAGATGACGGAGAAGAGGACCCTGGGCCACATGCCAGTGTCTTTGAACGTATCAAAGGGAAGGAGCCTGAAAAGGATGACAACGTCCTATGTGCGAGATGTAAAAGAGAAGTGAGTGCAAATACAGAGAAACCAGGGATATGGCAGCATCACCATCGCCCTAATTTTTTCCCAAACGCTTAGCTTGGTAAAGGGCGAGGTACATCATTCTATAGGGGATCATCTTTCGAGAGGCAATTCAGGTCAATAAATAATGGGAGAACATTCAGGCCACAACCTCGCCAACCAAATGTATGGTATTCGTTCCAGTATAATGCAGGAAAGGTGATACCCTTCAACGAGATGACTAGAACCCAACAAAAGCATTTTCAACGGAATTATGGACGAATGATGAGGTAACAACAGGGAGTACCATGTCCTAAGGCGCCTAAACTACTTGAGGTGGCCAATCAAAATGTTCTCAAAGACAGTGAGGATACTGGTACAGGTGAATCGATGGAAGAATTGCCAGAGAGTTCTTCTGGGAGATTGAAGTTTGAGCGAGGTAGAAAGGATGGAGAAGATCCAGATTAGCCCCTTACTATTCAGTTCGGTACGTTACCTCCTGTCATGGCTAATAACTATTTACTAGCCAATAAGTTTAAGAACAAAGAGAAAGAAGAAAAAGAAAGGGGGGATAACAAGGAAGAAGCATGTGTGTTGGAATGTGAAGAAGGCCAAGCCTCTAGAAGGGCCTACAATGGTGAAGAGGATGATGGTATGACGGACATCGAAGAGGAAATTGATCTTGAAGCAGAAAGAAGAAAGAGAGGAGTATCGCACAATACTCTTTTGAAGCAACTACATCGAGAGGGAGTTCGTGAAGTGGACTTGTTGGGAGAACCATCTGGGCGTTCTTTCGATTATTACGTGCTGTATGGGACGCCCAAGAGGAAAAAGAGAGTACCTCGATCTAAAAAGTATGGATCACCTCCAACAATAATGCCTCCTCCCACAGGTTGGGTAACCGAAGAAGAAGCATTAGAAAATAATAAAAAGGAAATTCAGGAAGCGGAAGCTCAGTGCGACATACTGCACGTTGACTAATCACAAAAGGATAATTCAACAGAGAACAAGCAGGAAGTGGAAATAGATGCTGCCGAAAAGGTTATTTTTAAGAGACCAATCATGAAGTTAACTAAACACTTGAGACCATTGTACGTTAAGGCTTTAGTTAACGGTATACCTGTGGCGAAAGTACTTATCGATAATGGAGCAGCTATAAACACCATTCTATCTAGGATGATGAGAAAGTTTGCAAAGACAGAAAGTGATGTAATTCCAACAAAAGTCATCCTTACAAGTTTCAATGGAGGAACAACTTCAACTAAAGGGGTTATGTCATTGGACATAACCGTAGGGACAACTACTAAGACCACAGTCTTCTTCGTAATAGATGGTCCTATTAGTTACAATGTGTTATTAGGAAGGGATTGGATACACGAAAGTCGCTGCATACCTTTATCGCTCCATCAATGCTTGGTTTTCTGGAATGACAAGGGTGAAGCAGAAGTGGTGCAGGCAGATCATAGACCTTTTGTCCCAGAAGCAAACTCAGTAGAAAGATTCATGTATGAAGGAAATTACGGACCTGTCAGAGTGGTCCAAGATGGAGAAGAAACTTAACTTGTTGCATAGAGCGAGGATCCGTTTTCAGTAGATACACTCACTGAAATGTTCAGTCAAATGAGGCTAAACATAGTGGCACTGGAAGAGCCAGTAATTGGCAAAAAAGTAATCAAAGAGTTTTAAATGAGTGATAAGCAACAATGGTGAATGGCCGATGTTCAGGCCTTCAAAGTCAAATTAATGGCTATTAATACAGAATGTAAAGACAAGACGAAAGAAGAAGCAGCCTTGAAAGCATTGGGAGACAAATTGGCAGTGTTTGAGTTGGAACAAAGTATTGGCCGAGAAGTCAATAAGGTGGATTGTTTAGAAGAAGAAGTGCCTATAAGGGAATTGGACAATGAAGTAATGAGGATCAACAAGCCTGGATACGCTCAAGCACAAGACCCTCTGATTAAAGTGAATATTGACAATGGAGGGAAAGATCGCCCAATATTCGTCAGCCAGATGCTCGATCAAGAGGTTAGTGATAAATTAATCGCTTTATTAAAGGAATATAAGGATTGTTTTACTTGGGAATATGAACATATGCCTGGTTCAGATAGGGATTTGGAAGAACGTAGATTGCCAACCAAACCAAATTTTAAACCTCATAAGCAATCTCCTAGGAGTTTTGCTCCTAATATACTTCCTGAGATTAAGAAAGAAATAGAGCGATTATTGAAAGCAGGCTTTATTAGAACAGCCAGATATGTAGAGTG